CTCTTGGCATTTTTGGGAAGAGTCTGTCGAATCTCTTAAACCAGACGAAACGCCGCGTATTTGTACAATTTTGAGATTACAAGGAAAATTTTATTCATGAAACTACTTTAGCAGCTTAACTTCTTCCCACTTTTTTCACTTTGAAAGCTTTCGCTTTTGTCACGTAATTGGTCCATCAATAGAGAATTACATTAGTTTTCTGAGTGCTCACTTCAGTTTTATACCGTACCATCGCCTTGTAGATGTTCAAATACAATAATCTTGAAAAAAGAAACGATTGCGTACTTGTTAAGTCAATCGTCTACTTAAAGAGACACGCAGCTGAGTTCTAAATATCTAATTTATAGTGAACTATAACTTTTATAATTTAAAGTTGCTCGCCGAAATCACATGATAGATGGTAAGTAATTTTCCTTTTTTCCTAATTGAAGTTATTTTTTGGCAAAAAATATTTTGTAGTTTGCATGACGCGGCGTTTTGTGTGGTTTAAGAGAAAACTTGACAGACTCCTCCTTAAAGAAGCTTAGGTTAACCGTGTTTCTCAGGCCCCAATTTTCGGATTCGCCATCATGATGAGGATCCACTGAGAGAATTTAAGATGGGAGTCGGTAGGAATCATGTCAATAGGGACCTTGTCCTGTTACGAGCTTCTGCGTCTTTTTTTTATCTATTCATCTCTTTTCTATTGACGTATTTGTACATTTTTGTGACCAACAAATTAAATTTAATTGGAGTGCCAAAGGTTTCCATACGTCAAATTTTGAATACGAGGAAAGTTCTATTCAGGGAACTATTCGAACAGCTTTCCTTCTTCCCAATTTTTTTTTCTACAGATAGTCAATGTCCCAGTTGACAACTGCTCCATGCCTACCCTCCTCGTGGTCTTAACCCACCCCATATGATGCTCGTCATAAATGGAGCATTGGAAAAAAGTGCCTCAGCAACACCCCTAGCTCTAGCCTTTTTCAAGAGAAGTCTGTCGAGCCTCTCACACTTGACAAAACGCCGCGTATTTGTACAATTTTGTGACGACAAATCTAAATTTAATTGGAGTGCTAAAGTTTTCCATACTTCAAACCTCGATTACAAGCAAAATTTTATTCATGAAACTAGTGATCAGCTTAGCTCCTTTCCACTTTTTTAACCTTGAAAGCTCTTGCTTTTGTGACATAAGCGGTCCATTAATAGAGAATTACACCAGTACTCTGAGTGCTCAGTTCACTTTCACACCGTACCACAGCCTTTTACATGCTCAAAAATGATAATTTAAAAAAAAAAAAAAATAGCTTGCGTACTTGTCAAGTCAATCGTCTGAATATTTGATTCATAGTAAATTTTAGGTACCTCTGTATTACTCTTATAATTCACAGAAGATGAGTCAGCCTCTACTTTGCCAGTGGAGATGGAACAGCGTAGGGCGTGTTTTTCTAGAAATGCTTTATCTAGAAATGATGTTGAGTAGTTGTCCTCTTTTTTATTTAATTTTTTTATAGATATTTCGTAGTTCACATGACGCGGCGTTTTGTCTGGTTTGTCTTTGATTGCAAGGAATTTTATACATTTAAGTATTCGATCAGCTTTCCTTTTTCCCCATTTTTTTAGACATTGAAAGCTCTCGCTTTGGTTACATAATCGGCCCATTAATAGAAAATTACACAGTTCTCTGAGTGCTCACTTCACTTTTATACCGTACTACCGCCTTTTAGATGTTCAAATACAATAATCTTAAAAAAAAAGAAACGATTACGTACGTACTTGTCGAGTCAGTTGTCCAGTCCACTACGGAACAAGTGAATGATTTTCCTTTTTTTTTCCTTTTAATTCGGGGTGATTCCTTAGGAAAAAAATTATTCAACATTTTTTCTTTAATTTTCCTTCAATGTTCCCTACCAATGTCTGTTTTGAAAAATACAATCAAAACAATAGATCACTGTGCCAAATTTACGCAATTAACGCCTGTACTACTGACATCAATCACGCGCGTTATTTCATCAGTTCACGGTACATTGTGCTGTAGCTGGAAGAAAAGGTTTTTATAGGTAGAAAGTCTCGAGCGGATGGAGCAATTTGATTTATAATTTGTGTAAAAATCACTCAATTTTAAACGACATCAATTCAAAATTAAACGTTCCACGAGTCGTTGCTTTCAAGATCATAATTTGCCTATAATATAGACCTTGTAGACCTTTATTTTGGCCTGCAGTGCAGGCGTCTTATTAGGGCCAGTTAACGTTAAGGAGGCG